GTCCCTAAACTTCTTCAACATTTTCATCTTGCGTCAGTCTCCCTGGATCTTTAAAGTCCAGGCACAATTACCTTTCTGCAGTTCCTTGAAGACACACCATGTTCTTTTCTGCCTCAGGTCTTTTGTACATGCTGTTCCATCTGCCTAGTGCAGACTCTTCCACAGCTTATGACCATGCATCACCCCACTCTTTTGTCTACATTGCCCTTTGCATTTAAAAGGTGTTCCTCACAGAAGCCTATGATTGCAGGCCCCCCCTTGTCACGTTTCCACTCTCTGTCTCTCCTTCATAGCATGCTCACAATTCTATTTACTTATTGAACTGTTTTCCCCTCATGCTTTCTTCAAAGGTATATAATCATCACCCTCCCCAGAATAGGCCTGGAACATAGCAGGTACTCAATAAATGGGTTAATAAAGTAATTCTACCTCACTTTTTAGCTTTATAACCATGAGCAACCTACTTAACCTCCTTGAGCTTCAGTTTCTTCAGCTTTAAAAAAAGTGCAAATGATAATACCCATCTGACAAAGCTGTTTAAAGATTAAATTTGGGCACACAACAAATGGTCCATGAATCTCTGGTAAGTAAGATATCCCAAGTCAAGGATCTCTCTAGATCTCAGGAAGTGAGAAAGAGCCTTAGGAATCAGGCACTTTTATTGTCTACACTTTCAAAACCGGAGTGAGAGGGAGTACATCCACTGTAAGAGAATTCTTGAAAAGGCCCCGAGGATAACCACGCCATTCAAAGGAGCTGAAACAAGGGACGTGCCTCGTGGTCCAGTGGTTAAGACTCCACATACCTGATGCAGGGGCCTGGGGTTCAATCCCTGGTCAGGGAACTAGATCCCACATGTGACAACAAAGACCTAGTGCAGCCAAAAAACCAAGGAGTTGAAAGAATTCCTAAGCAAAACACTAGGTGGATACTTCAGAAGAAACCAATTGGTAAACCGCTGAAGCGACTTAGCACACTTGCTCACACTTCCAAATAAATGGCAAGAATGACTAGTTCCTGTTTTCTCTGATATGGATTTAAAATGTGAAGGCTGAATTTCAGCCCTGGGGGACGATTATCCAATTTTCAAGTCACCATCAAATACACCATGGATCCTCCCATGTATTCAATTATATGCTTGAACTTTTGCCTCATACTGAGCACTGCATTAAGAAATGTATGTAAATTGTCTTGTTTCATCTAATCCTCAAACTCTACATAGTAGGTCTCATTATTTACAATTTGTACATGAGAACACTGAGGCCTCAGTTCTCTCTGAATTCAGCACTAAATCTTTCTTTATAGCATTTCTGATTTGTGATCAGATATTTTGGTTTCTTAATTCATTTATCATCCTCACCAGATTGTAAGTTCCTTGAGGGCAGGCGACTTGTTTTGTACACTTTTTTGCAAGAGCTCAGGTTAGTGCCTGTAGCATATTTGTCACTTATTGTTCAATACTTATTTGTTGAATAAACAAGTGAATAGATGCTTTAATCTGAGGGACCAAAGAGAGGAGAATTTGGGGCTTGAACTGTAACAATAAAAGTCAAACTAAATATGCAGAAAGACTCAGCTTCCTGTGTAGGCCAGTTGGTTTTTCAATATCTGGGAACCAATGGAAAATATGCCAACAGCCCATTAAAGAGTCAGCATTCAGCGTATAAAGACCTGCCTTCTCTCTAGTCCTGAATGGCTGTTTGGTGTCTATAGAGCATGCTCTGTGGAGCCCCAGGGCCCTCATTTGCATTAGAAGCAAGAGCGAGTTCCAAACTCAACTTGGATGGGACCAATATGTTCTTTTCACTTAATGATATAACATTTTATCAGCCACATAAAAAATGAAATATATGTGTTCATTTGCTATTTGAGGAGTTTTTTCAACATGTATGCAGGAGCTATGTCAGCCGCTAACTGGCGATCCTTTCTTGACACCTTTTCCCAAGGGTATTGCATAGAAAAACATTCTATTTGAACAAGACCAATGGCGGCAAAATTGCTTGCTTATCTCTAAAAAGACTAATAATGTGCACCAAGGGAGCAGCCCATGGTCTGACCAAAGTTTTTTCCCCCAGTGTAAACGATAAAATCCATTTCAATAGATAGAACAGAGCAGTTTAAAGTGCATCCCTAGTTAATTATATCCAAAGAGTAATAATAAAATCAACTATTAAATTTTAGAACTTCCTCTTTAAAGTATTAAATATTTGGCAACAGCAAAGCAGTTAAATTTCTCTCCCAACATGCTTCCCCTGGCTTGGCTGGCCTATGAGAAGAATACTTAGGTGAACTCTTTCAGTGTGCTAGAAAGAGAATGTATTTTTCCCATGAAGAAATATTTCGGATAAACCCTTTGTTTATGCCAAACGTGTACGGCTTGTTAAGTAACAAATTGCTCAACAGGAACATTCACTTCATCAGAAGATACAACTGAGTCACAAATCCTCTGTAATAATTGACGGTACATGACAAAAAAATTGTTAAACCTAAACCAAAAGGTCGTCTGAGCCCTAATTCAGTGTTTGGGGTCTTGACTCAGTTGCTTCAGCAGGTTTCAAGATTCAGGCATTGTCTGGCCTTTAAAACTTGGCCCTTGATAATGTCAGTCCACCCCAGTGGGGAAGACACTTGCTGCTGACTGAAGCTCGTGTCTGCACTAGGCTGGGATGAAAGAATCCAGTTTCTGTGGAAATCATCCAGGAAGCAGTGGCTTTGGGTCCTGGCACACAATTTGATTAGGATGATAGGATTCTGCTCCCTTTGGTAACTTCACTCTCAGATATAAGAAGGATTAAGTGGCTCTGTGGAAGAGAATTCAGAACTTGATCTTTCAAGGCTGAAGGCACTGGTTGCTGATATTCATCTATCCTTATGCTATTTGTTTTCTTCAGTTTCCCATCTGAAAAGCTGACTGTCTCTATGAATAGTGTGGAGAGTGAGCGCTCCTTCCTAAAGAGGCACTAGAATATGTAGGTTACATCAAAGCCAGCCTTCTTGCCTCTTAGGAAACCTAGAGGAGGATGGAAAACTTGCCGCTGTCTTTAAGGACAGAGATTATATTCTGGGGACATCTTGCTGGGCTGCTTTAGACAAGAGTTGTATCTGCGAACTGTCTGGGTTGTGGACCAGATAATGGACTGAACTTACATCACAAGGAAGCCCACCTGGACATAACAGAAGTGAACAGTAAACAGAAGCCTCCAAGACAAGGGGAAGCAGAAATGGTGCTGTGGGTAGGATCCTCATGGTTACTGGGCATCTGTCCAGTGGACCTCACTTGCCTGCCCCTCCAGAGTGAAGTTGCTCAGTCATGTCCGACTCTTTGTGACCCCATGGACTGTAGCCTGCCAGGCTCCTCTGTCCATGGGATTTTCCAGGCCAGATGCAAATCCATGTCAGAGCACACCCATGGGAGAAACAAGGCTGCCTTTTGCCCAACAGCCCCTGCAGGGGGAAGGGGGCAGGTGCTGCTGCACCCTCCCAGACAGTAGACGTGGAGTTTAAGGCCTTTTCCAGATGCAGAGAGTGGAAGTGGATGGCCTTTTGTAGGGCTTCACTCTGGAGCTTAGATGTTCAGCTAGGCAATCTAAAAAGGGCTCATAGTTTTAATTATGCTCTTGTTTTACAAAGAAAGTAACTGAGATAATGTTATTCCAGGACAATTTCTTGAAAAAAGATGGAACAAAAATTTTTTAAAAAGAAAGAAGTAAATGAATCTGGTTTTAAGCTGTCTCAGCCTAAATTTGCAATTAAAAATTTATTAAGAGCACATCTTCCCAGGTGGCGCTAGTGGTAAAGAATCTGCTTGATAATGCAGGAGACACAAGAGATGCGGGTTCGATCCCTGGGTTGGGAAGATACCCTGGAGGAGGAAATGGCAACCCACTCCAGTTTCTTGCCTGGGAAATCCCATGGACAGAGGAGACTGTTGCACATATGTGCACGCATGCACACACACACATAAGAGCATAATAGATGCCCAGTGTGAAGATATAATGACAAATAAGATATAAGTGGTCATGATGGTAAGATAGAGGAGAGATACTCATGTCAACACATAAATTCCATTCCATTGTGACTGGTACAATTACAGAGTTAGAGGGCAATTGGAAGAGACTAGCACCTCAATTCAGAGAAGGCAATGGCACCCCACTCCAGTACTCTTGCCTGGAAAATCCCATGGACGGAGGAGCCTGGTAGGCTGCAGTCCGTGGGGTCGCAAAGAGTCGGACATGACTGAGCGACTTCACTTTCACGTTTCACTTTGATGTGTTGGAGAAGGAAATGGCAACCCACTCCAGTGTTCTTGCCTGGAGAATCCCAGGGATGGGGTCGCACAGAGTTGGACACGACTGAAGTGACTTAGCAGTAGCAGTAGCAGCACCTCAATTTAGGAGCTCATGAGGGCTTCACTGACAAAGAGGCATTTAATCTGACCTTGAGGAATCTTCCCTGGTGGTCCAGCAGATAAGAATCTGCCTGCGAATGCAGGGAACACAGGTTTAATCCCTGGTCTGGGAAGATTCCACATGCTGCAGGGCAACTAAGCCCGTGTGGCACAACTACTGCACCCGCATGCTCCAACTAGGGAAGCCTGCTCGCCCTGGAGCCTGTGCTCCACAGTAAGAGGAGGTACTGCAGCAAGAAGCCCCGTAACACAACTAGAGAGTAGCCCCCACCTGCTGCAACTAGAGAAAACCTGTGTACAGCAACAGAGACCTAGAACAAGCACAACTCCCCCCCTAAAAGAAATAAAATAAATATAAAATGACAGGACATTTTTTCCAGGACATGTTTTCCAGGTGGACACAGGATAGGGTAGACTGTTCCAGGAAGAAATAACTCAGACAGTGTATGGTATAAATGTCTCAGGTGATCCTGGACCCAGAAGTGGTTCAGTCTGGTTGGATCGAGTCTCAGGGCACGTGTCAATGTGTAGCTGCACACATCGGGTTTTCTTTGAGATGTCAGATTAGGAAGGGGAGAGGCTGCAGAAGATCATGAAAGATCTTGTATTCCAAGCTAAGTAGGTTGGACTTGATCCTATAAGTAGCATGGTGTCATGAAAGATTTTTAAAGACTGTAAATCAAACTGGGCTGTAGATGGATCATTAGGAAAGCAGCATGCTGACACATGGGTTGCAAAGGACCAAACCTGGATGAACAGACCCACTGAGAAGTTATTCCTTCATTCGTCTATATATTTATTGAGCACCACTGCTGCACCAGGCACCTTGCAGAGGCATCTGTGATTATGCTGGTGTTGGGGATTAAGGCAAGAGAGATTGGGAGCACACACAGAACTTCCTGCATGAGTAGTCGGAAATGAAGAATGTTGTATGTCTGGGTGATTTCTGTTCTCTTTCTATATTGTTTGCGTCCAGAGGCAAGTTCTTCCCCATCTGCCCTCATTCTTGTCATATAACAAAAGTTGCTCTCAGGAAGTCTAATAAACCCTATGATGTAGTGGATTACTTCTCCCAGAAGCATTTGTCTTGAAGCAGTAATCAGAAGCCTTGAGACACTGGAAAGAAATCGTGATGGTAAATTTCCAGGAACTGGGTAAGAAGGTACTTTGTATCAGGATCTCCGCCATGTTAAGAGGGCATCTGCTCTAGCTCTCAGGATAACCTTGGGTTCCAGGCAAAGCAGTGAATGACTAGCTTGATGCCCCTCACTTCCTGGGCACAGTCTCCCAGGTCCCAGATTTCCTCTCTCTTGCCTAGAGTACCTCTTCTCACCCAGTGTGCATAAATGCACACTCACACACACCCAGTAGTCATGCAGAGGTCTTATCCTAAAACAATTTTTTTCCATCACAAGATTAAACATGTCTGCCAGGAAGGACAATTTGCTTCATGAAGGTGCAACAGAAAACTTTCAACTGTATCATTATAGAGCTAAATCCATGCCACTTCCCGAGATGGTAAACTTCTCTTCTGGGAATGAAAATAGCCTCAGGATTTGAAGAGTCCCTCCTCTCTACCCCAGAATCTCTCCTTATCATCTCCCTCCTTTCTCCTCTCCACTACTCTCTCAGCCCCTCCCAAATCTAAGCCCTTTCTCCACCTGTGCTCATCTATAGATACTGGCATTTACATCTTCATGAACTGCTTTTCTAAAAATTTTTTCTCATTTACTTTTTTATTCTTTTTCTCTTTTATTTTCTCTCTTGCTTTGATGTTCCACACAAGGAGAGTAGGATATGGTTCCTAACCAAGACATCTCATCAGTGTGGTGCCATTGAGGGCCACCATGGGACTTGAGAGATGAGAATGCTCTTGGCAGACCATAATTGTCAAGGTAGGCCTCGGGAGAAATGCAGGCTTTGAAATAACTCTTAAAAGAAGAGAAGTTTTCAGGTGGAATAAGAGCATAAAAGGAGAGAGAAAGAACAGTAAGCCTGGCTCAACACCAATCATTATCAGAGAAATGCAAATCAAAACCACAATGAGGTACCATCTCACACAGGTCACAGTAGCTGCTATCAAAGTCTACAAACAATAAATGCTGGCAAGGGTTTAAAAGGGAACCCTCTTACACTGTTGGTGTGAATGTAAACTAGTAGAGCCACTAAGGATAACAGGGTGGAGATTCCTTAAAAAACTGAAAATAGATCTGCCATACAACCCAGCAATCCCACTGCTGGGCATACACACTGAGGAAACCAGAATTGAAAGAGACACGTGTACTCCAATGTTCATCGCAGCACTGTTTATAATAGCCAGGGCATGGAAGCAACCTAGATGCCCACTGGCAGACAAATGGATAAGAAAGCTGTGGTACATATACACAGTGGAATATTACTCGGTTATTAAAAAGAATACATTTGAATCAGTTCTATTGAGGTGGATGAAACTGGAGCCTACTATACAAAGTGAAGTAAGTCAGAAAAAAAAACACCAATATAGTATATTAATGCATATATATGGAATTTAGAAAGATGGCAACGATGACCCTATATGCAAGATGCAAGAGACACAGATATAAAGAACAGACTTTTGGACTCTGTGGGATGTGGTAGAAGGCTAGGGTGGGATGATCTGCGAGAATAGCATTGAAACATGTATATTACCATACGTGAAATAGATCACCAGTCCAAGTTTGGTGCATGAAACAGGGCACTCAAAGCTGGTGCACTGGGACAACCCAGAGGGATGGGATGGGGAGGAAGGTGGGAGGGGGGTTCAGGATGGGGGACACATGTACACCCATGGCTGATTCATGTGAATGTATGGCAAAAACCAACACAATATTGTAAAGTAATTAGCCTCCAATTAAAATAATAAATTAATTAAACAAAAAAAGTAAGCCTGGCTTGCCTGCAATAAAAGGCACCACTGACAAGGGAGAGCAGGAGATAGGCTGCTTAAATAATATGAACCAGATATAGATGTTATGCCTGCCTGCATTATGGAGTCTTAGCTTAATGCAGAATCTTCTTATGATCTAGTTGAGAGAATGAATGAGGAAAGTGCTCTGTGAGGAAGATCAAGTTGACGGCAATGAATCACAAGACATTGAATTAAAAGAGAAAAGACATGAAAGCAAGGATATTAGGAGACTATTAGAACAATCTAGCAGTAGTCCAGATAAGTGAGGACAAAGACCAGAAAGAAGAAAGGCCAGAGCCCAGAGAAATTATAGAAGGAAGATTCAAACATCCACTTCATATTAAGCTACATACATCCCAGAGTTCAATTCGGGGGCAAACTGTCCATTTCTTATGGGCTGTGGAATAACCTGCCAATAGGGCTAACTACATCAATATAGAAAACCAAGACAGAGAAAGAATTTGGGGGATTTTTTTCTTGATTTCACTATTTGGGAGAAAATTCTTAATTTCTCCCGTGCTGCATGTATAAATGTAGCTCAAAGATGATCATAGGGTGGAGATGAAAATGTAACATTTTTGATACTTAATCTTGTAGTCAATCAAGATATGGCACTAAGTTATGTGTGCAATCTCAGCCTAACAGGTATAATAACCAACCTTTACCTCACTCAACAACCCCGTAAAGTTTACAACAACCCCACAAAATTAGCATTAGTATTCTTTCCATTTTACAATCAGAGGAACTCAGGAAGGTTAAGCATCTTTTTAAGATCACTCATTTAGAAAGAGAGCAGAAATCTGAATTCAGGTCTTTTGACTTCAAAGTCCATGCTCTTCCCCCAACATCACTGAATTTTCAGTCTAACAGTGCAAAGCAGAGGTTTCTTCTTTTTAAAGAATCAGAATTAAAGGATCAGAATTTTAGGTGTTTGTTCTCTTTAAAGGACTGGAATTTTGGGACATAAGTCTGATGAGTCTTGACATTTCCTTAATGTAACAAGTTAAGTCTTTATTTAAGAGAGAACAACTTGTAATTTTCTTCTACTGGTGGGCTAGACAGATAATAAAAATGATAGCAAAGGTTATTAAAATTTATATGGAGACTAACACAGATTGGAATAACTACAAAGTGAATTCTTTAAGCAGCAACAGAAAGGTTGTGAAATAGCACAGTATGAAAGGAAACGCTCCTTCAGCTTCAGATGCCTAAATATGCTATCAAAGGACTTCTCAGTTCTCAAATGCCAGTGTTTTCTGTTCCTCTAGAACCTAGCCTTAATGCAAAATATCAAAGTCAGCGGGATAGTAGGTGTCCCAAAATGTCTTAATTTAGAGAATTAGTGTTAACTGAGCCTGATTAGTTCCATTTATCTCTAATTAATTACCTTTATCTAATTAGACACTTTGTTTCCAGTAGACATGGAGTCAAGTAGACTAGATTATTAGTGTAGTCATTGTGCCTTTACAAAATCCTGAAATTAATGAAACGTGCAAAAGAATCTGCAGTTCTAATTGCACAGGTGTTGCCTTATGGCAAAGCTTTATCATCTGATTACACCAAGGGGTTATTAGTGACTTTTTATATAGAGGATGAGCCTATGAAACGTACCTTAGCAACAGCTCATTAGTTTAGGGTTGTTACTGTATTATTTATTACATTCAGCCTTCCCCATTATCTAGATTGATTCATGGACCTATATGTTTTTCCTCTCCTCCGTGCAGAAAAAAAAATTAAATAAAATAGAATAAACCATCATTATGAAGAGCCCAGATGCAATGTGGAAAAATGCAAAATGTCTTCATCAGCTACAATTTGACTCTTTAATAAGAAAAGCTCTAAAGTTAGGTGAGACCAGAATCAAATATATGGGGTTTTCTTTCTATAGAAAAAGAACCAATTTAAATTACTGAGGAGTATCGAATGATTCATATATGTGATCAAAAGAACCGTGTGGCTGTCCTAATGTCTTCACACAAGTGAACTGGCATACTAAGGTATTTGAGAGAAAAAAGAAAACTGTTTTTACACTAAATATATGTATGTTTATTTTCATTTTATATCTTTCCAAAAGGAGCTGAAGAGACATCTCTACAACATTCATAAACATCCAGCTCTCATTTTACTTTTTGCTTTGTTTTTCTTAAGAATAATTTGTTGTAGATGGGGAAAACTGTAACAAATTATACAATCTAGCTGAGCTGAAAAAGCAAGATTTCAGTGCTAACTTACAAAAGTGAAAAGTGTTTTTTCATGGCAAGGTCAGGTGTCTGCAAAAAACTAAAACATCTCAACCTGTGTATTTTTTTTTACTCATAACCATATGAATAAGCACTGTTTTTCACAATCACAGAGTAATTAAACAGCTAGAAGTAAATCCAAACACAATCCTACTCCAATATACAAACATGTTTATTGACAAAGCAGTAATTCCTTTAAATAATTTGTCAACATAAATACATCAAATGGGTTTTAAAATCATTTCTCTTTCTGTTTCCCAAAAAAAATTCCCTACTGATATGAGATATATATTGCTGTTCACTTACTGTTGAACCTAAACCAGTGAAATGATAACAGGTAACCGTTTTTATGTAGCACATGACAACTAATTTGAGTGGTAATAATGAACGTTTAATGATGCTCCTTTCAATCATGAACATAAAGTTTTCGTGTATTCTTACCAAAAATATAA